AGAGGGCTTTCGTGCAGCCTCTCAGGCCTCTGTGCGCAGCTGACCCCGGGGTCCTCTTGGGCTTTCGTGCAGCCTCCCTGGGCTTCTGTGTGCAGCTTGCTTCGGAGTCCCTGTAGCCTTTTGTGTGGCCTGCCTGGGATTCCATTACCACGTGGCCCCGGGAGCCCTGCGGGCTTTCGTGCAGCCTCCCCGGGCTTCCATGTGCAGCTGACCCTGGTGACCTAGCGGGCATTCGTGCAGCTTCCCCGGGCCTCCATGCGCAGCTGGCCCCAGGAGCCCTACGGTATGTTGCGCGTCCTCCTCGGGCCTCCATGCACACGTGGCTCCGGGAGCCTTGCGGGCATTCGTGGGATCTCCCCTGGCCTCAGCGCGCAGCTGACCCCAGGGACCCAGCAGGCATTCGTGCAGCCTCCCCAGGCCTCCATGGGCAGCTGGCCCCAGGAGCCCTATGGCATTTTGTGCGGCCTCCCTGGGCCTCCGTGCGCAGCTGGCCCCAGGGGCCCTGCAGGTTTTCGTGCGGCCTCCCTGGTCCTCCGAGCGCAGCTGACTCAGGAGCCCCACGGGCTTTCACACTGCCTCCCCAAGCCTCCGTGCGCAGCTGGCCCCTGGGCCCTGTGGGATTTTGTGGGGCCTCCCCGTGCCTCCAAGCACAGCTGGCCTCAGGGGCCCTGCATCCATTCGTGTGGCCTCCCTGGACCTCCGTGCGCAGCTGACTCAGGAGCCCCGTGGGCTTTCGTGTGGCCTCCCTGGGCCTCAGTGCGCAGCTGACTCGGGAGCCCCATGGGCTCTCGCGCGGCTTCCCCAAGCCTCCATGTGCAACTGGCCCCGGAGGTCCTGCGGGCATTCGTGTGGCCTCTCTGGGTCTCCGTGCGTTGCTGACTCGGGAGCCCCGTGGGCTTTCATGCAGCCCCCCAGGGCCTCCGTGCGCAGCTGGCCCCCTGGGCCCTGCAGGCTTTTGTGCAGCCTCTCTGGACCTCTGTGCGCAGCTGGCCCCGTGGGCCCTGCAGTCTTTGGTGCGACCTCTTCAGGCCTCTGTGCGCAGCTGGCCTTGGGGGCCTCTCGGGCTTTCGTGCAGCCTTCCCGGGCTTCCGTGTGCAGCTTGCCCTGGAGTCCCTGCGGGCTTCCATGCGGCCTGCCTGGGCTTTTGTGCGCAGCTGACCTCGGGGACACAGTGGGCATTCGTGCGGCTTCCCCGGGCCTCCATGCGCAGCTGGCTCCAGGAGCCCTACGGTATTTCGTGCGGCCTACTCAGACCTCTTTGCACACGTGGCTCCGGGAGCCCTGCGGGCATTCGTGGGGCCTCCCTGGGCCTCCGTGCACAGCTGGTCCCAGGGGCCCTGCGGGCTTTCATGTGGCCTCCCCGGACTCCTGTGCGCACATGGCCCCGGGGTCCCTCCAGGCTTTCGTGCAGCCTCCCTGAGCCTCCGTGCACAGCTGGCCCCGGGGGCACTGCGGACTTTTGTGCAGCCTTCCTGGGCCTCCGTGCGCAGCTGGTCCTGGGGGCCCTGCACACTTTCATGTGGCCTCCCCGCACCTTCATGTGCACGTGGCCCCCGGTTCCCTGCAGGCTTTCGTGCCGCCTCCCCGGGCCTCCCCCAGGCCTCTCTAGAAGCTCCAGTTCCCTCTCATACTGGGGAGTCCAGAACTGCAAACAGTACTCTAGCTGTGACCTTACCAGAGCTGAGTAGAGGGGCAGGATCACCTCTCTTCACCTGCTGTCAACACCCCTCCTGATGCAGGCCAGGATCGCATTGGCCCTCTTGATCACAAGGACACACTGCTGCCTCATAGGTAACTTGTCAATCAGGACTCTCAGCTCCCTCTCTGTGGAGCTGCTCTTGGTCAGCTCCTTTTGCTCTTGATCAGTGGTGTGGGTAACACAGCTAGAGCAGGATAAGGCAATGTGTTGAAGCTGATAGTCCTAGCCAGGAGAACAGATTAGCATAGATAGATGGTGAATGTCACAACAGAAATTTTTGTTCAGAGGTCTTGTATGACAGAGAATCAATACATTTATTTGACAAGATGCATTTTGAAAGGGAGGGAAGAGGTCAGATCAATAGTTTAATTCAGTGGAACCAAACTGAGGCAGTAAAATAATGAAACTTGAATGAGACCAGATGGAACAGTAGAAGGGCAGCAGGAAGAGGCAGGATATTAATGGCCTAATATGCATGAAACTGTCTGGAGTAGTACAGACAAAAATGGGACACTCAAGAGGAAGTTTTGGGACTTAGAAATAAGTGGAGCTACTAGAATAAATGAACGGATCCTACTGGAAAAAAAGGAGTTTTGGATCATACTGACACAGTCTGAGTAAAAAATTCTGGGCTGCTTTGATTGGAACAAAATTGAGATTTATCAATAAATTCCACGTGAGGTCACTAGTTGCTTTCAGATGGCAGCATCTTTTAAACACTTTAACAGAGACTAGACTGGAAGTAAGAACTTGTCATTCCTTGGATATACTTAGTCAGTGGGTTCCTTGAAGGCCTCAAAGATGAAAGAATCTGTAAAAGAATGGTTTGATCCAGTTCCTTTCTCACTCTCAGGCATTTCCTTGTTTATTCTGGTTAACTTTTGTGTAAAGAAGATAATTAAAACACTGATGAGAAAGGAACAATCTCCATATACCCCTGCTGTACAAGGAATGATGAGAAAGAGGCAGGTTAGGCTTATAGTTTCCAGGGCGCTTATTCCTCTTTTACATTAGATATAAGAGCATATCCTGCCTTGCTGGTTATCACTGAAATATTTCTGATTTATACGGGAGCACATAGCTTTAAACTTTTGAGCCTGATTCAGTAGGAGTATGACAAGTTTTGTTGACGCAGTTCACACTTGTCAGGAATATTAGGTATGGTCTCTACCCCTTAAGGTGAAGCCATCATTTCCATCTTTGGTCTATGTGTCTGGGAGTTGGTACTTAAGGTTAGGTTTTTCCTGAATCTTGCTTGAGAGCCCCTGTGACTGTTCACAAGTTTGTGAGGATCTCTAACTTTTTACTAACTCTGATATCACAAAGGTGTTACTCCTATCAAATCCATTAGTTCCCAAAACAGGCAATGTTTCTAGCCATTCCTAGATTCAGCATGATCTGATCTTGATTTTCCTTTGGACAACAGAGAAATTGTCTTCAATAAGAAGCACAGAGTAATTAACTGGAACTACTGCTAACAAGGGCCTTCGGGATTAGATTTGCCCATGAGACTAAAAACTTTGTTAGCAAATAATTGGCTTTCTTCCCAAGTCCCTATAACCCTATCCCTCCCTCCTTTGGGGGACACTTGGTTAAACACAAAAGCTTAGATACTAAAACTTGAATAAACTTGAGTGTCTTAGGATTAATGCCCTTAGTCTCTTGGAAAGAAACTTAAGTGTCTTGAGAAGGAAGGACAATAAGCAAAGGATGTGAGCAAAAGCAGAGGGGCAGAGCAGGAGCCTGAAGAAAAGGGGTAAAACTCTCAACATCTGAAAAACATGAAGCCTGAACATGGCTGTTATTTGCCCTGTGTATTATGATACTCATCAGTGTTATTAAGAACAAGCTTTCATGATTGACTTACAGTCATCTGTGTGAACTACTCTTTATGGGTTAGTAATAGGGCTGATAAAAGGAATATCTCTACAGCAAACTATGAGAGACAGCTAGAAATATTTCACAGTATCCAGCTTGGGTAAGCTAGCACACTTAACCATCATCCCCAGGGCAACTGGTGTGAAAAGAGTATTTCTGACTGAATCACAGATAGAGTAATCATAGAATATTTAAATTAGAAAGAGATATCTGGAAGCTGTGTGATTTAGCCCCTGCTCGAAGAAGGACCATCTTGATCAGATTCCTCAGGCTCTTGTCAAGTTTTCAATGCCTCCTGGCATTCAAAGCTCAGCATTCGAAATTATATTAACCTCTCCAGCCCGAATTCCAATGTCTGACCATTCTCATGTAATAATATTAAAAAAATATATATCAAAAAGCAACAAACCAAAACAAAATATCCTTAGATCTCATTGGAATCACTGGAATTTCCAGTGTTGAAATTTGTGTCCATTGCGTCTGAGCATCTAGACTCATCTTCTCTACAGCTTCACACAGGAGAGGTACAGACAGCAAAAAAAGATTGTCCCCCAGCTGCCTCTTTTCAAGGCTGAACAAACCCAGCTTTCTCGGATTCTCCTCCTATGTATTCTGTTCCACTGGTGTTATTAACCTCTGAGTGGGAGGTGAGCTCAGGCTGGTGAAGAAACACACCCATCACACATGGGAAACCACAAAGAGAACTATCAGAATAATTTGGATTGTCATAGGACAGTATGACTACTCCTAAAGAGAACTGTTGGGTATGAATTTATATGCCAGATCATTATTAAGCTGAAGAAAAGGCATTTTCTTTGCTACCATTAAAAATGATCAGTTGCAGATAAGCCATTTTTGTAATCCATACAAGCATCCAACAGACATCCTGATGAGTGTTGTCTATACTGTCACTGGATGCATACCAGATCAAATCTTGGATTCTTTCTGGAATAGAACAGTTAGGTTTCTTTCTAGGAAAAAAAAAAGAAACAAAACCCCTGATAAGTTCAATAGTTAGAAAGACTCATCTTCATACACCTTTTTACCAAGGTGTATATAAAACAATAATTATGTTTATTATCTTCAGCATTATATCACAAAAAATAAGAAAACAAAAGATAAACTATTTAAGTTATTAATCTTAATTAAAATAAAGTGTAAACAAATTGCAATTGATTACATTTAAATAAATTAAAATATTACAATAATTTAAAGAAATTATTAAAATAATTTATTAAAATGTCTCCAAATGATAGAGGGTACATATAAGGTTGAAAAGAGAGACAAAGATTTGTGGCAGCCTGACTCCAGCTAACCCACATTCAGAACAGGAGGTGGAGTTTCTTGCTCTTCATGTAGAGAAAAATATTATAGGATAACTTCGTGCTGATGTGTTGAAATGTCACTGCTCAAAACTGGAAAAAAAAAAATCAAAAATAGCACTGCAGTCTATAACGGCAGTTAAAGTGCCAAAAAACAGAGTGGAGACTACAGTTCATAGTGTCTATTTGTGTGATGTGCCAGCAACTGGAGGTAACAACTTTTTCTCTAACCTAAAATGCATGGATGGGTGTGTGTAACTCACTAGCAAACTTCAAGCTGGACAAGGTGGTGTGTAAGAGGAAAAGCTGTATCTGAAAAGACTGAAAATCTGAACCAGAAGGGGGTAAAGGAGACCAGGGTCTGGCCGTGTGTCCCCACTATTTACAGGCCTGCCAACAATCGTAAGGGCAAACAATATAAATTCTCCTTTCATCTACCCAGATATTCATTCCATCATAGAAAGCTATTAGCTTTGTTGAGCATAATTTCCCCCTGGTAAACCTATGCTGACTACTCCCAATCACTTTCTTGTTCGTCATGTGCTTGGAAACAGTATCCAGCATGAGCTGCTCCATCATCTTAAAGGATGAAGGTGAGGTGGACAGGCCTGTAGTTCCCTGGGTCCAGCTTCTTGCCCTGTAAAAAGACTGTAGATTTTCTTTCTTCCAGTCCTCCAGCACCTCTTCTGATCAATGTTTTTCATGAGTGGGGCCTTACAGAGGCCTCAGCCTGCACTTTCAGAACTAATGGAGCTGGGGTATCCCATCAAGGCCCATGAAACTGTGTATGTCAGTGAAAACCATTTGGACCGAGATTTCCTTCTTCCAGTAACAAAGAAAGAAACATTTAGGGTGAGGTCTAGTGGTATAAACAGAAGTATCACTTCAGACATCTCAGAGTACCACAGACACCTGCATGGAAATGTCAGGAAGGACACAGGACCCAAAGATGCCCAGCTGGTCTAAGCAGGGACTAGTGCTTCTCAGGGACACTACATGCCAATATTTGGCAATTGAGTCCCACTCCTAGAGGATTCTCTACCTAAATAAGTTAAGCCACTACATGCTAGACACTAGAAACCAGAATTTGCCCTTTTTATGCATAATGCTGTGAAACAAGCTGTTCTGGACAGCAGCTCTTCTGATTGCTTTATACACTTCTTTTAGAAGCAGCTGGCCTCAGGTGGTGTTAGCATAAGGTTTTTCGTAAGATGTTAGACTGGAAATATATTTCCTTCATTATCTCATGTTATTTCAAAGTCTGATCTTCTGTAACTACTTCTACCATGTCAGCCATCTGAAATCTATGCAAGTTTTCATTATTTAAATTATATATATAATATATATAAACCAATAGTCTCACTTTTTTACAGCACTACTTCCTTTCCTTTATATAGCTGACATCTTACGTCCAAGTAAAATCAGTTATAGCAGTTTAAAAACTTGCTTATTTTTAGTCTCCTGTCCTTTCCTCCCACTCCTCTTTTCTTTTTTCCTTTAGTACTCATTGGTTGTCTATGTGAATGGTTACTGCTAAGCCAGAAGAAATGAGCAGGAGGGAAAAAGATCCTAATTTCCTGAAATGCAGGTCTTTAAAAATGTTATATTTCTTTTTTTCCTAGACATCTCAAAATCTGCCATAGGGTGTGTTTTTTGTCTCAGCCAACTCTCAATCTCTTTTTGCGTTAAGCATACAAAGTATAACTGCCGGCCACAGAAATGGCTCAAACTCACAAGTTTTAATAATAATTTTAATTTCTAAAATGTATCTACGTATCCCATGCAGTACTCCCTCACAGAGATGGAAAATGCCACAGCCCTGCAGGCAAGGGTGGGCCATAGACAGCACAACCTTCACAAGAGCGAGGAGCACTGGTGTATCCCACCTGCTGGCAGCTGGCCTGACCTCCCAGAGAGTGAGAGGGAGGTCAGCACCTTGATTCTTCCTGTGACTGACAGGGCATTGAGGGATCGGAATTTGTTTGCAATTCTGAAGTGTGCACAGAATGCCATTTAGTGCCTGGCTATAGCAAATTAGGCTGAAATTGCAAACTAAGAGTGAATAATGAATACTATTATTTGTGGTCACGCTACATTTGCGGTCCTTGCTCTTGACAGTCCCCCTTAACTTTTCAAAAGAATCCCTGGGCATAGCATGACACCTTCTCAGCATGGATTCTCCCCACCACAACTCTATGTCCTGAAAGAGTGAGACAAGTAAACAAGACAACCTAACTGGATCTCTTGTGAACATACAGTGAAAGGCACAGGAGGTGGTAGTGGGGCGTCAAGCAAGATGGACAAGAGCTAGAAATCCTGGACACTCAACTTCGTTGCAATTTCTCTTCCTCAGGAAAGGAAGTGCTGTACTTCCAGTGCTCCGCTAACATGTGCACTGTCAAAAATGGAAGATGCCAAATTTAGCAACTACTGTCCTTGGAGGGGTTTATGCCCTTACGCAAAAGCTGGTGAGGCAGGGCCTGGAGTTTGCAGTAGGAAGAGTGGGGGTGCACAAGAGAGAGTGGGGACAAGTATAAAGAATCCCATCCTAACAACACGGAGAAGATATGACAACCAATGGGCAGGATCACTCAGAAAAAGACTGAGTAGCAGTGACAAACATGCAGGCTGAGGAGCATACAAAAAATGGGTTCTCAATCCATCCATCCATCCTCAAGCCACGATGTCCTTCAGAGCTGCAGAGAGATCAGGAAAGATGAAACGGTAGCCACTCTCCAGGGTACGTTTTGGCACCACTCTCTGGCCCTCCAGTAGCATGGTGGCCCGCTCAGCCCCAAACACAGCCCGCACAGCCCAAGCGGGTACTGTCAGCAGGGCTGGGCGTCCTAGGGCTGCACCAAGCTCCTGAGCAAAGCTGCCGTTGGAGGTGGAAGGTGAGGATGGCGAGACACCATTGAAGATCCCTTGCAGACACTCACTCTCCAGGACATGACACACAATTCCAGACAGGTCTCGAACATGAATCCATGGAAATGGCTGCAGTCCAGACCCCAAGGGGCCTCCCAGCCCCAGTCGGAAAGGCCAGAGCATGCGAGAGATGGCACCACCATCTCGGCCCAGCACTACCCCTATGGAGAGAACAGAGTGAGACATCTCACTCAGAGTGAGAACAGAGTGAGACATCAAAGGATAAGAGGCATCCCTCACTCCCAGACCCAGGGACATAATTTCAGCAACAAGAGACATAGCTTATGTCATTATCCCACCCCTTTTCTCTCTTGGTCAAGATCAAACCAGATCTACCCTGAATAGGGATGATACACCATCTCACCAGATCTCACTATAGCACCACGAGTTGGGCTCCCATGGATGACAGCTGCAGCCTCCCAGGAGCTCACCAGGCGTGAGAAGAAGTCAAAATCTCCCCCAGCACTGTCCTCTGTGTACTCTGCTGTGGGGCTGGGACGGTAATAACCTGTAGGAGTAACAAGAGAAAGAGGTCAGGGCTGGAACATGACACCAAGTTCCCAGAGCACCATAACTGGATCGGGGGCTGCAGTGTCCTCTTGTGAGGGAAGCAGAATATCTCTGACAGGTTTTATGCTGACAGGTTTTCTTATTACAAACAGGCTCTGCAAACTCAGCAGAATCTGCTAGCATTCAGGTTGAGCCTGCAGTTCCAAGAACCAAATGCATCTACAAGCAAGGCATAGAAGTTTGCTCTGAACTCAAGTGTCACAGATGCTCAGCTGCTTCAAAGACTACAGCAAGCAGGATTGCAAAGTTGGAAATATAAGGGGGACTGCAACTCTGTCCTTGATTAGATGAATCGTTCCTGAGATTTACTGCAGAATATCTAGAAGCTTATATAGGGAAACAAAGAAATGACATTAAAATCAAACGACTGCAAAAAATTATATGCAGCATTTCAAGGCTAGAAACATGTCTCCCAGAAGTTTCCCCAAGCTGACATGAGACATGCCATGCACGAGCCTAATCAATACCTACGCCGGTGATAAGGATCCATGCATGAGGTGGCTGATCAGCCTCAGCAATGGCTTTGGCCAAGGTCTTGGTGGTCTCCACTCGGCTGCTGCTGATTTCCCTGCAGAAAGCATCATCCCACCTGTAGAATGGAGAGCCCTTCATCACAATGTCTACAAAGATATGCCAGAAAACAAGAGACCCCAGGGCAAATGGCCTCAACAGACACCTCCTAAGCACAAGACGGGTCACATCAAGTCCCCACTTCCCCATTTCAGAGGTAGGGAAGCATGTTGGACCCCACTACCCAAGTACCTGAGGACTCTGGGAGAAGGACTCCCTGTTTTCTGCCTTGTATTCCCTTAGCACAAACATCTGAGAGAAGCTGGACAGCAAAGTTGTATGATAAGAATCCTATTAAAGTATCCAGAGGAGATAACTCCAAAAAAATCTCCCAAGCAAACTAAGACAAGTTTGCACAAACCATTTTGCTTATGATTTGGCATTACTTAAATGTGGTGTCCCCAAGGAGTCAGTCCTCCAGGAGAGTCCTGTTTATTCATCAATGACCTGGATGAAGGGACACAGCGCTCCCTCAGCAAGTTTGCTGATGATACAAAACTGGTGTGAGTAGCTGGTACCTCAGAGGGCTGCATCGCCATCCAGAGGAACTTGGACAGACTGGACAACTGGGCGGTGAGAAACCTCATAAAGTTCAACAAGGGCAAGTGCAGAGTCCTGCACTTGGGGAGGAATAACCCCAGACATCAGGACAGATTAGGGGTGGACCTGCTGGAGAGCAGCTCTGTCAAGAGGGACTTGGGTGTCTTGGTGGATGACAAGTTGGCCATGAGGCAGCAGTGTGCCCTGGTGGCCAAGAAGGCCAATGGGACCCTGGGATGCATTAAGAAGAGCATCTTCAGCAGGTCGAGAGAGGGGATTGTCTCCCTCTACACAACCCTGGTAAGGCCACATCTGGAGACTGTGTCCAGTTCTGGGCTCCCCAGGACAAGAGGGATGTGGAGCTGCTGGAGAGAGTCCAGCACAGGGCTATGAGGATGATCAGCACCTGGAACATCTGCCCTGTGAGGAAAGGCTGAGAGAGCTGGGCATGTTCAGCCTGAAGAAAAGGCTGGGGGGGGGCGGATCTGATCAATGTGTATAAATACCTGAAGGGAGGCAATGAGAAGGATGGGGCCAGCCTTCTTTCAGTGGTGGTCACTGATAGGACTAGAGCAAACAGCCACAAACCAAAGCACCGAAAGTTCCACAGGAACTTAAGGAAAAAAATCTTAATAGTGAGGGTGACAGAGCACAGGAGCAGGCTGCCAAGAGAGGTTGTGGAGTTTGCTTCTCTGGAGATCTTCAAAACCACCTTGGACAGAATCCTGTGCCACGTGCTCTAGGTGACCCTGCGTTTGCAGCGGGTTGGGCTAGATGATCTCTGGAGGTCCCTTCCAACCCTAAGGATTCTATGATTCTATGAAATGTAGACATCCAGCACCACTTAGGATACCAGCAGCTACTTTGTCTGGCCTCCAACTATCAATTCAGAGGGGCATTTGTCTCTCAATTTTCTGGGATTCATCAGTCCTAGAGAAATATTTTTGGATACCTGAGGATCCACATATTGACAGGGAACCAAAATCTAACTGGATCGTAGAATCATAGAATGCTTAAGGTTGGAAGGGACCTCAGAGGTCATCTAGTCCAACACCCCTGCTCACACAGGGTCACCTAGAGCACGTGGCACAGGATGTCCTGTCCACTCTGCAGATTATCTACACACTCTCTTATAACACTGGGCTGTCTTGCCTTTGCTTTGCCCTCACTGTGCTATGGGAGATCAAGTTACCTGCGGAAAGGGTTGAGGACATTCTCACCAGCCAAGTTCACAACAGCATCGCATGGCGGCAGTCCAGAGCGGGACAACTCTTCCTAGAAAGGGAAGTAACAGAGACATCACACTCGCAGACCCTCCTCTTCATACCTTCCCAATAGCCAAGCAGTGTGAACTCCTAAACAAATGTCCAGCCATACCCTTTGTGAACTTGTGGGACATAACCTGTAGCATAAGCATGGATGGAGAAGATTTTATTCTTTGGATCAGCAGCATTACCCATTCCCATTGCTTTCACACACGGAGCACTTAGAAGCCCAATGTTACATTCAGGGAAGACAGATTCCCAAACGCAGGCACCTTGTATTAGCAGCAGGACAGGGTAAGCTAGCTTGTTCCTCAACCCTGGCATGTTGCTCCTCCTGTGATCACTCTCATCACATACCCAGCTGATACGATCCTTGCCCCCTTGTCGAGAGACGTGAGTCACCTCATGCCCACGGAGGCGCAGTAACTGGGTCAAAGCTCTGCCCACAAATCCAGTCCCTCCACCTAAGAAAAAGACAGGACATTTGAATTTTGCAGCTCTGCAAGTAGAGTCCCAAAGCCTGCACTCCCAAGCCAACACGCTGTGCCTGGGAGACCCCATTACCAATGGCCACTTTCCCTGGCTGCAGTACCCCAGGGCGAGAGGACCCTTTTCACAGTGCCTAGCTCCTCTGTTAAGCACGCTGCATCCCAGTCCTGAAGGCCCCATTACCAACACCCAGACTGTGCATGGTATCCTACTTTCTAGCCCAAGAGAACCCTGATTTCCCAGCTGCCTTATGGAACACGCAGAATCCAAGGCACCCAGTTCCCCCAAAGCTATCACCTGCACAAGGCACATTTCACCCCACCCCCTTCCCCACCCACATACTTTAAAAAAAAATGCACAGTCCCTGCAAGCCACTCCCCACAGGGCCTACTTTAAACAAAGCCCCACAGCTTCCTTGGGTGGCCCACTGATGGAACCAACCCCACACTCAACACTGCTCACAGCCTCCATTCCCATGCAGAGCACCTGCTGTGGGGCTGAGCCCCTGCCTCGGTCAAACAATTTCCAGTGCAGAACATTATTTCCAACGCAGAGCATCATGGAATGGTTGTGGATGGAAATGACCTCTGGAGCTGATTTGATCAAACCCTGTTGCTCAGGCAGTCACCTGGAGCACCTTGCACAGGACTGCATCTGGCCAGGCTGGTCTTGAATATGTCCACAGCCCCTCTTGGCAACTTGTTTTGCAGCTCTTTCACCCTCACAGTCAAGAAGGTCTTCCTCATGAACTTCCTGTGCTTCAGCTTGTGGCTATTGCCTTTTGTCCTACTGCTGGGCACCACTGAAAATAGGCTGTCCCTGTCCTCTCTACATTCTCCCTTAAGATATTTGTGTGCTTTGGTAAGATCTTCTCCCACCCTTCTCTTCTATAGGCTGAAGAGGCCCATCTCTGTCATCCTTTCCTCATAGTACCAGTCCCCTAATCACCTTTGCAGCCCTGCGGTGGACTCTCTCCAGCACTTTCATGTCTCTTTTGTACTGGAGTCCAGAACTGGACACAGGACACCCAATGCGGCCACAGCAGGGTTGATCAGACGGGGAGGATCCCATCTTTGACCTGCTGGCGAGGCTCTTCCCGACGCACCCCAGGACACCAGCAGCCTTCCTGGCCACAAGGGCACACCGCTGGCTCACGGTCGGCTCCTCCAGCAGCACGGCCTGTTCCTTATCCGCCGAGCTGCTCTCCCTCCGGGCAGCCCCCAGCGCGCCCTGGTTGTGTGGTTAGAAGGTTGTTCCTCCCCACCTCCCGCACGCTCCCCCTGCACTTCAGACCCACTACCCTGCCCCGACCCGTGCCGTGCACAGACCCCGCGCTACAGCACCCTGCAGAGCACCCTCCCCGGCCCCCGCAGCCTCAGGCACCGGCCCCCTCGCTGGCAGCGCCCGGACCCCCGGGGGCAGCCCCAGGCGCCCCGGCAGACCACTCACCCACCAGCACCCGCATGGCTGGAGCTAGTGCGCGTGCGCCGCTGGCCGGGCCGGGGGGGGGGGGGGGGAAGGACGGCGTGTGCGCATGCGCACGATGAAGCCCTCCCCCTCCGGCGGGGGGGGAGGGGCGCGTTAAGGGGTGCGCGACTGTGTTAGTCCGTCCGCGCTTTAATTAAGTGAGTTCGACACAAGTTGTGCCGGTAGAATAGGAAAGAAAGCAATCTGAAGTAAGTAGGTGTCGATAGTTAAAGGAGCTCAAGTAAAGGACACGGAAGTGTTTTGACTTTTCTACTCAATGCTCCAGCATTTTCTAATCAAGATTTCAGAAATAGGCAGGAATTTTTCTCACTAAGCCATCATACTGGCTTCTTTCTGCTTATGCACTTTCTCACCTGTTTCTCCATATAGTCATAGGGAAAGCAAACAAAAACCAAAACTCCACAACCAACCAACCAAAACCAAAAACAACCCTAGATTCTTCCGAGGATGTGATGTGATTCTTCCATTGAGTTTTCGATGGTTCCTCTGAGAGGCAATGAAACGCACATTGCCAGACACCTTCAACCTGAGGACATTACAGCAAGTCGGTAAAACTGCTTCAGAGCAAGTTGTCGGCTTTGTCAGCTGCTGCGTCCTATGTCTTCTGCAGGGAAAGGCAGGAGGTGCATTTTGAGTCCCGACATGTCAGAATCTGCTCTGAAGCAGGGACAAATACTGAAGAAGCATTTTTACTCCCCTTACTGCCTGCATTTCTAGAGGCCAGCCCACTTAATTATCCATCTTTGTCTTTGCAGGCACTCATTGCCACTGTGCCATCCATCAGTCCATTTGCTTTCCATTCTCTTGCTTCCTTCATAATGCTGTCCATGCTTTTACCCATTCTGCCCCTTCCAACACTCCGACTGTCTTAGGTGTTTCTGTCTCCCCTGCCACTGTGTATAGAAGTGTTTGCCAAATCCAGTGGTTACATGGGAAGGTACTGGACTTCTGTGAGAAGAACCAGTCCAAAATTTTGAAAGACAGAATTATTTGCCCAGGAAGAGGCCTTCTCTTGGTTCATAGGATGAAAAATGAACATAAACAGGCAGTTTCCATATGGTGTGTATTAGTAAGTGGTTGAATAAGTTGGAGCTCTTCTCCATATGCCTTTTGGTTTGCTGTCCTTTGCTGTCTGCTGGATCATGTTGGTGATGTTAGAGGGAGCTGCTGACAGACCGTCCATGCCCTCTCCCCAGAAGTG